TGGGCTCTGCAGAACCTTCTGGTGGTGGCCAGAACTCCTTTTTTGGATTTCCTTGGTCATCTTTGCCGGCAGGGTGCGAAGCAGACATATCAAACTTGTCTTTAACCCAATCACTAAGTCTTGAAACACGCTCATCATCATCGCATTCCTCCTCTCTGGCATTGTTGAGTAAGACGTGCGGCTCTCTGTCACCTCTCCAACTAAGCTGGTGCCAATGTATTTGTCCTCTCGACTTTGCGAACTCGTACCGATACCAATAGTCGCTAACACCAAACACGCCTTTGACTATCTTCTCGTGGTAGCTCTGGGTGCGGGCATCAAAGTAAGAAACCACAACATGGGTGTTCTCCTGTACTGCTTTGAATCGTGCATTGCTGTCTTCAAGTAGGTTGACAACTTCTCCAGTGGTTTCCAAGATGTACTTTTCTAAAAGCCTTCTTAATGGTGGGAAGTAGAACTCAGCACAGCTTCCTGTCATGAAAAATGTTGGTAAGCCAAGCTTCTCATTTACCATGAACTCTATCATTGCTCGAAGTTCTCTACGTCTTTGATGCCAATACTGTGAAGTACCACGCAAACTGGCTCCAAAATACAGTAGCTTATTCGCTATGGTTGTATCTCCTCTTGCAAAGCGTTCTTGCAGATCAGCCACAGTCAKGTGGGGTTCTCCGAGTTGCTGGTCAACGAAATATCTGCTCTGTTCAAGGGCTCGTTTTCTCATAACCATGTTGTGTACTACAAATTTCCACACTTTGTGCTTGGCAAATCGTCCATCCTGAAACCACAGCAAATGCTCTGCCCACTCGTGTAGTGCTGTACAGGTTCTTGCACGGTTTGTATTGTAATCTCCATTTCCTTTAGGGAAGAGACAGGGAAATGCCATTGTGAAAAAATAGGGTGTACTAAATTCTGATGCTGGTGTCGTATCTGTCGATGGCCATGGGATAACCGGTCGTTCAACTGTGTGTCTGTTATTCGATTCTTCATCATGTACAGACTCGGTGAGTTGGTTCACAGCTGTCTCAATCTGTTCTTGCACATTCACACCAGGTTCGGGCAGTAGTACTCCAGAAACAGTCTCCTCATCATTTTCTGCCACTTCAAGATCTAACTGATTTGGGGCTGGCCCTTGGTCATCTTCAYGTTGCGTCTCTGTAAATTCCACTGTGCGTAGTTGGGGTAATTCGCCATCCTCGGGCAAGTCTTGAATTCGAGCGTCATCAATGGTTATAGTACTATAAGCAGGGTTGTTGTGCTTYAACCATCGAATTGCTGCCTCCACACGATGCCTTCGCACTCTGAAATCTTTATGTGTATCATCCTTGCCTTGSCTTCGTACACGAATGATATCCACCTCTGCGGGTAAACGTGGAAGGATTGTAGCAGGTTCTTGAACAKCCTGTGGGAATGCGACACAGTGCCCTCTCGAGCCAATGCCACCGTGTTTCAGCATACGTACATGAATGGCAGGTGCAAGTCTTGCTATAAGCATCTGCTCGGCATCTGTTAGATCTGCAAGCTCATCTGGGACAAGTCCAGGGTCCATGTTATTTTCTTCTGACCATAACTTTGGAGTTTGCTTGTCCCTTTTACAACGTGAGCAACAATCACCTCTTGTGGGTTTCAGTTGAAGTCGTCTTTCTCTGCATACATTACAACAACTGAATTCATAGGTCATTTGTTCAACCTCAAATGCTCGAATAGCAGCATAGCATTCATCTTCATGTTGACTTGATCCCGGTGGGGGTGGTGGGGGAAGATCATTTATCACTTCAAGGAGTCTCCTTTCGCCTTGCAAAATCCGTCTTTGATTTCGGCGTCTCCGTCTTCTCTTATCGTCATCAGTCTCAGTACTACCAGGTTTTGCAAACTCATAGGCAATGCCAACAGCTCTTGCTCGCTCAATCAGTCCACTTTCATCGTTTCGGTCGTTAGCTTCAACACATGGTTGTCTGTCGTCATCTGGCTCAGTATGTTGATTGCCAATATCCTCCAAATGGGTAGTATGCTGTACAGCTCCTGCTTCTGCAATGAGTTCACTTTCTTCACTTTGAATACTAGTTTCAGCATGCAGTTGTGGGTTGCAAGGTGTTCTGGGTAACTCGTATTCTTCAACATGATGAATGTCAACTTCCTCCAAATATTACTTTGCATATCATCTGGATGACCTACACCTGTTTGGACGATAGAATTCTCAACAACATTAACATCATCATATTGTAAACTTACACCTGAAGTTGATGCACGTGCACTGTAGATATCATTTATGTCTTCCTTTTGTTCTCCACCAAAGGTGCCTTCAAATTCATCAACTAAGAAAGAGAAAAAATAATAAATACTACATTTCGAAATTAAGTGCATTTTTGATAACAAGAAATAAAAAAAAACATTTGGTCAAATATACAATATGCCAACAGCTTAGTAGAGAGGTGATAGAGCTGCATGACTTAAATATAATAGATAAAAAAATAATACTTTGTCTTATAAAAATGAAAGTTTTGATATGTTTCAATCATGCAGGAATCATAAATTAAATGCATTTTGACAGAAATCAAGTCAGAGACAGTATGTAGGAATGAATGTAGTACTGAGCAAAAGCTGAGACAAATAATAACTGATCTTAACCAGCAGTATCACTCACTTGCACTTTACTCATTATCTATATCAGAATGCTGATGAAGGAAAAATTCATTGAATAATATTACAGAAATCATAACTTAATAATTATTATTAAATTACAGTATATTTTCAATTTGAAAGTTTTAAATATTTTTCAATCATTACAGGAAACATCAAATGATATTAAATGCATTTTGACAGTTGTGATATATTTTTTCAATCATACAGAAATCATAAACAATACTAACAAATGTATTTTGAAAGTTTTGATATTTTTCAATAATGCAGAAGTCCTGAATTTATAATAAAAATATTTTGACAGTTTTTCAATTGTGCAAAAATCAAAATCAATTAATTAATATGAATGATTATGTTACAGTTTTTTGCTTTCACCAATTTATCATTTAATAAACACAATACAGTAGTTGTCCCTTGAAGATATGAATTTCATCTTTGTGTTTTGAATGATATCCCATAAGTGAGTGCTGCAATTTAATTTCCGTGAACCCATGTAATACCCTCTATTTTACACACAGGAATGATAAAATATAATAATAAATACATTTTGGTGCAGTTGATATTTTTCAATCATAAAATATATAAATGATATAAAATACAGTATATAAATGATATAAAAGATATAAATGATAAATGCAATAGACCCCTTGCATGAGACGTCAAAGAAGCTTCATCTGGAGGACAAAACAAAAGAGTTTTGCCCTCTTGGGAACTAGAATCTATTGTTTTGTCCTCCAGTTGGAGTTGCATTCCTACGAACTGCAAGGGGTCTATTTGACAGTTTTGTAAACAAAAGAAATCATTATATGATAAATTATACATGAAAGTGTTTTTCAATCATACAGGAATCATATAAATAATAATTTAATCACACAGGAATAATAAATAATAAAACATTTTTTTGGTTAAATATTTTTCAATCATAACTAGTGTACAGTTTTTATAATATATTTTGACAGTTTTGTAAACAAAAGGGATCATTCTAAGTGATAACAAATGAAAGTTTTTAAAGCAATTTTCTCAAATTCTTTGCTTACTATTTATCCAAAAATAATTCAATAATATTTCCTGTGTATTTGTTAACAGTTTGTATTATTTAAGTAAAGATCGAGTTTATTGAAGAGTAAAATTCTTATAATGTACATGTAGCTTGCACAAACAATTCACACACATTTTCATTGTCAACAAACTGATTTAATTGAGAAGTTTTGAAGTGTATCAGGTGAAGATTTTCAAATTCAAAACCGGATTTCAACCTACTTGTGATTCATGAAGTAGTAGCAGTAGTAGAATTGATTTTTGAGTACCAAAAACCGCCTGACATCGACAGTGCACAAATGTTTATAGTAAATAAATCCTTCTGGTGCCTGGATATCGGCTGATAATGTCCGAGGACGAGAAATGGTCCGAAAAACAAACATTTTGCCGAGAAGCGTAGCTTATATTGTTGAGTCGACGAAGAAAGCCATCAAAGTGCAAGGTAAAATCTACACACGATGTGATTGGTTTACAGTAATTTTTTCATTATTTGATTGGTTAATCATTGACAAGTGATTGAACAAGGCGTCGAAACTCTCAGCTGAAGTGAGAACTACAAATTTATTGCTGCGTTTACCGTGAATTATAGGTCTTTTTAGACAAAAAAACTTAAAAAATGAGTGTCTTTAGTTATTCTGCTTTGAGATGAAGTAAACTTGATACCCATTAAACGTAGAACTTGCGAAATTAAAAGAGACGCAGATCAAACTAGCGAGTGAAAATTTTTGTAATCAAACCTGAGCATTTAAGTTTGATGTTAACCTAAACCAGAGTCTAATAACTCTGCCTAAACCGACAACCTTTAGTCCTTTACTCACATAAGCTTTCCCTTGATATAACAAGCTAAACTATAAAGCCTCATATAGTTTTCTTACCTGAAGTTTTTCTCCATTTCCCTTCAGTACAATCTTTCTCCTTTTCCAATTCTGATAAGCTTAATTTTTCTCGCCAGGCTCTTTTTTTCTGACGCTCATGTTCTCTGCTTTCCTCGGTAAACTTCTCTCTAGAAACCCTTTTTCTTTGACGTTCCGATTCTCGGTTTTCTTCTGTGAAATTATCCCTCGATAACCGTTTTCTTTCGCGTTCATTTTCTCGGCTTTCTTCAGTCATGTTTCGTCTACATTCACGTTTTCTCTCCCTTTCAAGCCTTCGTTGTTCTTCACTAAGATTTCTTCGTCGCTCTCTTTCTCTTTCTCTTCTTCTTGCCTTTTCTTCTTCAGATAAAGGGCGTACCCGTTGATTTTCAGACATTTTTTCCGCAAAATTAATGAAATGATTCAAAGAAAAAAAGTCGTTGTGGTGAAAAAGTTGCTTTCAAAAATTGACGCGAGCGCGCTTACTTTTCCCGCCTTGTCAAAAGCTACCGTAGTAGCCAATCAGAATCGCGATGTACACGGACGGACGGAAGGACAACTGGGCTTCCTGTGTTGGTTGATCAAAACTCATCCCCATGGGTTTACCATTTTTCCTTAGTTATGGTGCTCCGCTGCGCGCGGGCCTTCGGCCCGCGCGGGAGCTCCGCTATAAATCAAAAATATTTATAATCATTGTTTTTATTTATCATTTATATGAGAATGTTTAACATTCATAATGGCTTTCTATTTCCATCTCATGTGCTTAACATTTTACTGCAGTGAACTACACACAAATCTAATTTTTATATTTACTGTGTTTTGATCAGTTATAGACCAAAAAWATGAGTTTTTTCAATTTCAATTTGTGGTTGATAAGAATGTCCATGGCAATGATGTTATTTCTGGAATTGTGTTCCTCAACACTTCAAAAGAATAAAAATCAGTTTTTACACTTGTAAGTTTTCGATTTGAATATATCTTAGAATCAACTAAGGCGATAATATAAATCAAATTCAAGCTACGTTCACAATTTCGGTTTTGGTTTTTAATGCTTGCATTCATATTATTCGTACCTGGCTATCGTTTTCCTTGTCGGATCCGCTACTTTCTCCTTCGGTATAAACGTCCGATAAGTCGCTGTAAAATGTTTGATCTTCTTCTTCTTGTTCTTGGACTTCCTCATCAATAAACTCTTTAACGTTATCAGAGCTTGGAATTCCGTCGTTGTTGCTATCAAGCTCAATGTCAACGCTATCAAAAACTGACGTTTGGGTATTCAAAGCTCCACTGGAGTACATAGAAGTTATTGAAACATTCAGCAAACGTTGATGTTCATCGTATGTTTTTTTAGCAACCCGCTTATTACAGTGCTTGCAGAACACATATTCAGTCGCATTACATACTACAGGCCCTCGCTGTTCTTCCAATACACAGGGAAGGTGCATATAATAAGCAGATTTTCCGAAGTTTTTCTTGCAGCTGGAACAATGCTTTCGAGTCGCCATCTTTATATTTTACACTGCTTTTCCCGCCTAAAGTTGAAAAAAAAAAAAAACACAGGAAACCCAAAATTTGAATGTAAATCGCCGATTGGTCTATTCAAATGGAAGAGTCACGCTCGAATACTCTTCGGAAACTTCCGACATTATAATTTGCTTTCTTCGAACCAATAGGATAGCAATACGGACAATAGAGTGAACTTCGGTTACAGTTAGACTGCAGTGATCTGCAGTGATCATATTTCTGTCTTGTGCTTACAAGAAATCAACTGCTTCGCAGTATTGTCTCCAGAGTCTTGTATCTCTCTTTGGTATCTTCGATAGCGTTAAAGTACAAGAATGTCGGCGATTCGACCATCTAGCTTTTTTGGTTCTAGTTCTAGTGGTTCTTCTGGGCGATCAACRCCAAGATCGTCGACGCCAAGATCATCAACTGAGATGCGGTCAAGTATAAGCTTACCTGAACCGTATCAGACACCACCAAACGGTCGCAGTCAAACCAGASATGATCTCTCGGAAATCAAAGAAATGATTMAAGAGYATTCAAAGCTATTAAAAAATCTCGAAACCGCGATAAAGGCCGTTGGTGACCAACTGGAAGAGGTGCGAGAAAACATGTGTGATGACGACGAGGACGATCGGATTCCACCAGAAATATCGGTAAGTCTCTGAAAGTTGTTATTATTAAGCCTTTGTATTGTTTCGTTTATCTTTATTTAATTTTTTTTGACCGAGTCGAGATCGTTGTAAACCTACCACTTAGTGCCGAAGCTATGTAATGTTGGTAAACATTGCCACAAGCACGTGTAAAGCCCCTGGGGCTCCCCGACTCAATACTTTTACTGGTCACGTCAAGCATTGGAATTTTTCGTTGACTTCATGCAACAAAGGTTTCAATAATTTTCAATCGTTGTTTGATTGCCTTTCATCTGTTCTTCTAGAGTGATGTCCATTTGATTTATAGCAAGTTTGGGGAAGATGAGGTGTACCATCCACATGAAAGGTAAATTGTGTATTGTATTTTGAAAAAAATTGGTCTATTATGCATTGCTTAAACAGTTTATTTTTGYTTTCTTTAACATCYTTCAGCATTACGTCTCAACACAATTCTTCAGTAAGACATGCTCTTGAGGAAGAAATAACATCAAAGGATAAAGGATATCCAGTTAGATTGATAAAGAGTAAGAAACTGAATTTGTTTATTATTTTATTAAATGCATTCTTCTTATTGATTTCAATAGATTTTGATTAGGTCTAACTTTTTTTAGTATAAACATACTAATGGTCTATCACTCATACTGTGCTGTGATTGGCTACTCTACTAATGGTCTAATTTGTGATAGACCACTCGCGGGAAAATCAAAATAAATAAATTATAAATTATGTTAAGGATATTTCAATTTGTTTTCATTATTTGACCGATTAGTATGTTTATACTAAAACAATTAGACCTCTCGGCCTCGTGGACTACGAGCTAATAGCCCATTCGGCCTYGCGGAYKCKGCTTCATGGGCTATTAGCTCGTAGTCCACTCGCCCTCTAGGTCTAATTGTTAATGAGTTTGCTGAATCTTTTCAACTTTCATAATATATCAAGGCAGAATGCTCATGTATTCAAGTTTGCTTAAATTTTCATTTTCTCTTTAGGGGCTGTGTCAAGATATTATGAGACAAAAAGAAAGATGTACTTGCAAACGCTCCCAGAAAACCAGGAGAAAGCTGCAAGGGTGCAGCTCAGCAATAAACTGAGGTCCCAACGTAAAAGGGTAAGAGTGTTACAGATGTTCATATATCAGAAAAAGATTCTGTTTTAATAGCTGTTTTCTGGACTTGGGTTTACAGTATGTGTGGCATCTGCATGTTGTTGACTGGCTTGCTTTAAGTTAAGATATATCTGATATATCCCTTGCATCACTTACAAATAGATGTTGTCATAGTCAGACTGGTCAAATACATAAATAGACCATTAATTTAGTTGATTCATGTTGATTCCCTATGCAGAAAGAGAGTGGCTGTGATGTTAGAATCCCTATTGACAATAAGTAAAAGAAATAATTTGATGGTATGTTTGATTTTTCTTTTTAAAACTCTATATATCAAGATTGGAAGCTGGCAATGAACAGGAAAAAGCTGCCATGAAGAGCTAACATATGATTATGTTAGTGATGAGGAGGATGGTGAAGGACCAAATAGAGGAAAGTGGGTAGAAAATAGAAATAATACCAAATAGAGGAAAGTGGAGAGGGGGATAATCTGATGAAGAGAAGATAGATGCCTCTTCATCAGATCGGCCAAGATTCACAAGAGTTCCAGGGGGGTTATCATCTAGGGGAAAACCAAAGAACCCTGTCACATGGGCTGTTAATGATGATTTGCCAAGACCATCCAGAAGGTAGAATAGATATCATATAGTTAAATCATGACAGATCTCAAATGATATATTTTTGGCTCCCAAACACTTTTGAGATTGAACTTTAAATAATGATTTTATTTTGATCAATTAAGAAAGGAAATTTTACACATATAATTTCTTTGAATTATTTACTCAGCTCTGTGCCTTCCAGTGGCTCAAGAGAACAGGAAAATCAACAATCAAGTACTAATGATCTGCCAAGAAGGTAAAAAAGATATGATTTTATGCTTCTGCAGTGTAATAAAACAAACTTTTGGCCTTTGCTCAAAGTGCACGACTTACCATTTAGCATAATCATTGCAAAATTCAAACAGATGATACATTGTAGTATACTTCATACTCGTCCAAATTCAGACAAAACTATGCATAGCATTGTCCCTTCTATTGCATCTTTAAATATTGATTGTTTTGTGGATAACATGATTCAGTATGCATTTAGATTTGTCAGAGTATTAGACAACTTGTGTTGTGTACTAAAGTGTTTTTGTTTACTGTAGTATTTNAGAATGCTCATGTATTCAAGTTTGCTTAAATTTTCATTTTCTCTTTAGGGGCTGTGTCAAGATATTATGAGACAAAAAGAAAGATGTACTTGCAAACGCTCCCAGAAAACCAGGAGAAAGCTGCAAGGGTGCAGCTCAGCAATAAACTGAGGTCCCAACGTAAAAGGGTAAGAGTGTTACAGATGTTCATATATCAGAAAAAGATTCTGTTTTAATAGCTGTTTTCTGGACTTGGGTTTACAGTATGTGTGGCATCTGCATGTTGTTGACTGGCTTGCTTTAAGTTAAGATATATCTGATATATCCCTTGCATCACTTACAAATAGATGTTGTCATAGTCAGACTGGTCAAATACATAWATAGACCATTAATTTAGTTGATTCATGTTGATTCCCTATGCAGAAAGAGAGTGGCTGTGATGTTAGAATCCCTATTGACAATAAGTAAAAGAAATATTTTGATGGTATGTTTGATTTTTCTTTTTAAAGCTCTATATATCAAGATTGAAAGCTGGCAATGAACAGGAAAAAGCTGCCATGAAAGAGCTAACATATGATTATGTCAGTGATGAGGAGGATGGTGAAGGACCAAATAGAGGAAAGTGGGTAGTTAGAAAGCCATCATGGAGGTCTGGAGAGGGGGATAATCTGATGAAGAGGCTTCAAGAGAAGATAGATGCCTCTTCATCAGATCGGCCAAGATTCACAAGAGTTCCAGGGRGGTTATCATCTAGGGGAAAACCAAAGAACCCTGTCACATGGGCTGTTAATGATGATTTGCCAAGACCATCCAGAAGGTAGAATAGATATCATATAGTTAAATCATGACAGATCTCAAATGTGACTTATGATATATTTTTGGCTCCCAAACACTTTTAAGATTGAACTTTAAATAATGATTTTATTTTGATCAATTAAGAAAGGAAATTTTACTCATATAATTTCTTTGAATTATTTACTCAGCTCTGTGCCTTCCAGTGGCTCAAGAGAACAGGAAAATCAACAATCAAGTACTAATGATCTGCCAAGAAGGTAAAAAAGATATGATTTTATGCTTCTGCAGTGTAATAAAACAAACTTTTGGCCTTTGCTCAAAGTGCACGACTTACCATTTAGCATAATCATTGCAAAATTCAAACAGATGATACATTGTAGTATACTTCATACTCGTCCAAATTCAGACAAAACTATCCATAGCATTGTCCCTTCTATTGCATTTTTCAAATATTGGTTGTTTTGTGGATAACATGATTCAGTATGCATTTAGATTTGTCAGAGTATTAGACGACTTGTGTTGTGTACTAAAGTGTTTTTGTTTACTGTAGTATTTTTATTTTATCACTAATCTTATATTCTTAATTGCAGAGAGAGATCTAGAAGTCCAGCAAGAAGCCTAAGCCAGCGTCAATCCAGAAGGGGTAAAAGTAAATTCATGTTTTAATGCATTCTCAATGCCATATTCATTTAAAGTATCAGCTGCCC